ATAATGCTAGAAGCCTGGTGCACAAATTCGTGCACAAGGGGGGTCCCTCCTAGTGGCTTGCAAGGATCAGGCCCCAGCTTGTGCTCCCAGCCTCACAGCCCTGTCTGGCACCCTGCCTTGGCCTGATGCCACCCCCACCTGCTCCACCATCCCTCCTGTGAGGCCATCAATTGGGGCCGAGGCCCCCACCTGGCTCCCTCAGTGCCTAGGAGCCAGATGGTGGCCCCAACCCTGCTGCTGCCACTGGTGGCCATCTGTGGGTTGATGGGCTGGTCTATTGGGCCCTGACTCACAGCCTCCTTGGCCTGCTGCCGCCCGCTCACCTGCTCCACCATCTCACAGCGGTCCCACTCTCTTCAGGGCCCATCAGGGCCAGCAGCGCCTCCACTGCTGCCCGCTGCCAGATCCACATTGCCAACACCCTCCATGTTCTGCACCAGCCCCTGGTGGTCAGTACACATCAAGGCGAGCAGTCAAACTCCCAATCAAACTCCCAAGGGGACAATTTGCATGTGAGACTTTTATTATATAGGATAGTACAAGCTAGGAAAACTACAGGACAAGCCGCACAAAGAAACTGAGACAGAGTTTGCGGCCACCTAGTAAATCCTATCTTCCCCAAACCAAGGAAACTTAAGAGTAAATGGTTGCACTGCTCCCCAACCAGAGGGTAAACAGCTTAAAACACCCTATTCAGGGAGACAGATAGAAATCCAATCAGTGCCATTTCCCAACCACACCCAAGGACAGACAAATTAAGAGAATGAATCTCACTTTGGCACATCAGCATAAAGCTGATGAAAATTCTATCGATCTGCCCTGTTTTAAAACCTCCCCTCAGCCTTTAAACACCCAGTCTTTAAAAACCCTGAAAACAAAGGTCCCAGTACCATCCGATCTCCCTCTGAAGAGCATGCCTATGCTATTCCCTTCCCCTATCCTTCCCCCACAGGCTGGTCTCCCCTGATCTCTAAGCGACCCCATGAGACTTGCAGCCAGGGGCAGCAGCAGCTCATCCCAGGCTCACCCCGAACCTGACTCCATGGTCCACTGGTCTCTGACTTCCCCGTGAGCCAAGGCTGCCCAGCCTAGGTGCTCCTGGTGCTCCTTCGATGCCCTCCTTGTTTCACTCTCCTAAGCATGTTTTTGCTGAGGTCAATGAATGCTTGCTTGCTTTTCTACGCTTTGTCTCTTGATTGAAACCTTTCCGTCAGGAAGACAAGAACCGAGGTCTCATGGTCTCCCCGGTAACACTTTGAACACAGGGAAGGCCCAGCTAGACCTGGGCTTGAACCTTAACTATGCAGAGCTCAATACTGGCCGTTTCATCTTGAAAAATAAATTAACCTTTCTTTTGCCTATTTAGCAGCCAAATTGGATGAAAATATTCACTGCGGAGTTTATTTTCCAAGATTTCGGTGAGACAACCATAAGAACCCAGCCCAATGGTTTATATACATAATGGGCCAAGGACGGTTTGTCTGCCCTGCCCTTTTTTTACTGCTTTCATTCACCTTCTTGCTCACTTGTGGGTAATTAAGAAGTGTGGGTCCTTGAGGGATTGTCATTTGGGGATTAGAAAGTTGACTAAAAGAAGGCAAAGGGAAAAAGAGGCCTAACTTGCCACCAGCACCAGTCGTCCCCAGCCTGGGCTGCCCTCAGGAGGGAGAAAGCACTTCCGGCCACAAAGCTGTTTGGGCTGCAGAGGCCTGAGCCCAGCATGTCCTCTTTGGAAGGCAGTTTTACACACTTCATTCTGCTGCTCCGGGTGGTACAAATGGAGGGGAGTTGTATTTGTTAATGTGTGTAGAGCACAGCTTTTGACACAGGGTCTCTAATGTGTGTTTTGTTATTATTGTTGATTTGTTTATGGGGTTTTTTTGTTGTTTTTGCTTTTAAAGCATATTATCAAAACAGCTGAGAAAAGCAAGGTCTGCAGCCTGAGTCATTCCCGTGACACTATGCCTCCGGCTGTGTTGACCGAGTAGCCCTGGCACTGTGAAGCCAGGGAAACAGGTGGGTGGGGCGCTGGGCTGCAGGCAAGCTCTCTCAGGGACTCAGGGCCTCTCAAGGACGAAATGGGCCGCTTCCTGAAAACAACTGATGGCTTTATGCAGCACAAACAAAACTAAACAAATATTGATGAATGTTTGGGGCTCGTTCAAATCTCTGAGTAAAATTACATATGAAAGAAGGCACAGTTAGAAATAGTGGGTTACCAGTCTTCTCTAGAGTGAAAACTGGCTGAAACTGGTTTGTCAGCTAGTTTATTTTCCAGAAATGATTACATTTATTTTAACAGTTAACTTGGTGCTATACCCAAGGGCAAGTGGACAGCATGCCTCAGCCCACACACAAAACTTCAAATGTATATATACCATTTGGTGGTTAATGACACAAATATAACAAATAATGGTGTGCTTACTGACGGTAACATTTCCACAGCAACTGGTACACGGACAGTATTTGTAACCAAGAGGGGCAGAGGGGGGACTGTGACAGCCAGAGGCCTGTGCACATGCTGGGAACACCTTCCACGCTGCAAAGCCGTGTGCAGCCCCTGGAGCTCTGCCAGGCAGTGCACCTGCCTAGTCACCTCTCTTCAGGAGTTAACCACCATTTGCTTTGCTCTTTTGCAATCTTGACCTCTGATTTCACAACACAGTCTATGAACTTTTTTAAATGCAGAGCTTTATAGGAAACCAGTTCTACATTGGGGAAAACACAGCAAGCAGTCTGCTCTTCAAGGGTGGCCTTTTTCTTGTTTCCACCCACAGGGTTAACAGCTGTGGAGAAGGATGTATCTGGATGGCAGACATTCTCTCTCTCTCTCTCTCTCCCCTCTAAGGTGGTAATAAGCTTCCATTTCATATTAAAGTAGAGGCCCACTGCATGAATTCGTGCATGAGTGGAGTCTGGCCAGCCGGCTCAGATGGGGACCCATTGGGCCAGGCTGGTGGGAGGGAGGAGCAACTGGTGGTTAGCCAGCTGGCCTCACCCCCAATCTGGGTATTGTGGACCAATGGGGGGAGGGGGAGTTGGCCAATCAGGACCCACAAAGGTTGGTTGGCTGCTGCAGTGCATGTCAGTCATCCCAGTCATCTGGTTGTTGGGCTTTTATATACAGTAGATATAGATATGACAGTGAACTTCTGTTTGCCCATTGGGGAACTCGTGACAGTGAAATAAGCATAAATAAGCCAATCAGGGCAATAGGAATAAATCAAGATGCTCCTTGCAAAACTAGATGTGTGCTCTCCCCCAATAGTGAAAAGACATTCCCTCAGCTGTTTTTACTCCAAGACTTAATTACACAACGGCCACAGGGCACTGAGAGGCTTTGGAGCTGGACCAGCAGGAAGCATGGGAATGGCTCTGAGATACTACTGATTGGGAAGGAGCAACTGAATCGGAGCCCTCAAACACCCAGCCTGCCTTTGCCCCTGAACTGAGCTGTTATTTAACTTTAGGGATTTAAGACAGTAGAGAGCTGGTCTAAGGCAATATGCAATGTCCCATCCAAGGACCAATTCTCTCCAACAGAAAGACCCAGAGATAGGCCAGGCTGAACTAAGCCAAGGTCTCCCAGGGAGACAGAGGTTCCCAAAGTACCTCTCAGATTCAGTGATGGGCCGCCGTCCCATGCACTCTAGGGACGGCTCCCCATGTACAGGGAGCTGGGATCCGCCATGTACTTGTTTCTATTTTTACTTTTTTTTTTTTTTTTTTTTACTAATCCTCACTCCAGGTTATTTTTTCTATTGGTTTTTTAGAGAGTGGGAGGGAGGGACAGAGTGCGGTAAGAAACATCCATTTGTTGCCTCCTTCATGCACCCTGACCAGGGCCAGGGGATTCAAACCTGCAACCCAGCTATGTGCCCTTGACTAGGAATCGAACCTGTGATCCATAGTGCACAATCTGACACTAACCACTGAGCAAAACCAGCCTGGGTTGTTTTAAACGTTTATCCCATCTCATTCTTAGGCAGTGACTAAGTCCACTACCTTAAAAATATAACTCATATCTTAATTCAAATATTAGCTTCCATTTGGTTTTATCAGAAACACCTAAATATTGTTCTGCCAGTTGTGACAGGCGTCTATTCCCAGCGCTTTGATGTCAACATCAAAATTCCTTGCAGCTTTTAATTTTCCTCATGTGGTGCTTGCTGGGTTTGGGCTCCCTCCTTCCCTCAATCCTGCCTGAACTTTCTCAGCACACTGGGCATGGTTTGGTGGTGGGTGGAGTTGTGCCATGGATCTTTCATAACCACCTAAAACTGCAGAGGTAGACACCACTTGGGGATACAGATGCAAGATAAGAATATCAGAGACAAGTTCTGGAGTTCTTTAAGGAAGCATGGTCTACTAATCTTTTTTTCATTGTCTCCTACCTCGCACCCCAACTGCTCACTTGTATATTAGTCCCTGACAGAGTGGACTCAAATGGTCAGAAGATCCAAGTGTGTGTGACCGAGCAGCCTTACCTATGAGCCTTTTCTGATTTAGCCTCACTCTGACCAAGATGTGAAGAGAATATGTTTAGCTGGGACTTAAGAGCAAAACCAGGTATACAGAGCAACGCCTCTCCAGCTTCAGTGCACAGCAGAATCATGAGATTAAAAATGCAGGCGCCTACGCAGGATTCTGAGTGGGTACAATTTGGAACAAGGCTTAGGCATTGCACATCCCCAATTCCACCCCCTACATTCTGATGTAGGCGGTCTTCCCCCTTCAGTTTAGAAAAATCACATAAAACAGTGACAAAGCATTCACCACACACACACACACACACACACACACACACACACACCACCTTTGCACCGCACTGCCCCACATTTGGACGGTAACTCCTGGTCAGCAAACTTGTACACATCTGACGACATGTGAGCAAACTGTCAACAGTCACCCACTCAGATGTTCTGCTCAGAGACTCCCCCTGCCATCCATTGTTAATGCATACTAAGCAAAGGCAACAGTTCTGAACTCACGGTGAGTTGAAGGTATACAATGACTTTATTTCCTTGGCCTGACAGCATAAACATTACACAAGAACCTGCAGCTGACAGAATCAACACCCAGATTCCCCTCCCCCACGAAGAACCCTTTTCATGAGCAGAGATGAGCTGAAATGTCATGACTGAGTGCTCCCCACCCCCACCCAGAAGAACCCCTAAAGTGAAAATAATCAGAATCAACAGAAGCCCCACGAATTACTACAAGTCACCCTCTCCAACTTTCCTAACTAGCAGCTGCAGTAAATGGAAACCACAGGAGGGAAGCAGCTGGCCATCACTTAGCATCACTTAGAAGAAACAGCAGGGAGGGAGGACATCCATGGAGTCTGTTAATTGGAAATGGCTGAGGCTCATTAAAGTCCACGGTAGGGGTGGGATGAGGGGCACTAGAGAGAGAGAGCAGGTTAGGCAGAGATGTTCAATACTTCATCAATTCCAGTTAATGCTATCAAAACTACCTTCATTGTCACGTCCTTCACGATTGGCTCTTATTTTCCTAAAGTGAGCTCCATCTAAATTTCTATCTGACATCTATCCCCATCACTGGGGTGGTGCTTGATGTCTGTGAGATTATGACTGGGATGGGGGAGATGTGGCGAGGAGGAGGAAGAGGAGGAGGAGGAGGGGGAGAGGGATGGGGAAGAGAAGGAGGAGAGATGGGGCACAATGTTTGAATTACAATGTGTCTCCTTTGGTCCTCAGGAATGGTCCACTACCAGTAATTCTAAATCATTCCCCTCCCTTCCCACCTCCCCAGCTGTCCTATGCAAATGTCAAAGAGAAGGGAGAGCTGAAAGATGATGCCACTCCACAATCATCTCTGGCCCCAACTTGCCCACCTCCCGACTCTTCTAAAAAACAAAGAAGAAAAGAAATCACACAAAAATTAATTCGCAGCAATGCTATGAAATCATATCCTCTCCATTCCTAGAGTAAAGCTAATCCAACAGCTCTGTCCTGACATGCTTTCTCCCTGGGCCGAGGAAGCAGCAAAAAATATCAATTGAGCAGGTGAAAATATGACAACGACGACAATGACGATGACGATGTGTGCGGTTGTAGTGTTTCCAGATGTCTTCACCTTCTGTCTCCTCTCCATGGTGGGAGCTATCGATCTCTTCCCCACATCCCACACATATCCCTCCCCCTACCCCCGAGTCCAGGCTCCCATCGGCTGGGCTGCCGTCACTCACTTCCCATACACACTCTCATCGCTGTAGGCCACATACAGAAAGTAGTCTTCCTCGTGGTTGTCCTAGGGAAGAGATGAGGACCGGTTAGAAAACATCGTCCCATTCATTATCTCCAAGACCAAGGCATAATCCTTTTCTTTTAAAGCTCATTCTCTCTAGCATGGAAAACACAGATACAACAAAGCACGCACATTGAGATACATACTAATAGGGAATATATGCTATGGGATAACCATTAAGACTACAGACATTGGTCTGGCCAGGATGCTCAGTGGCTGAGCATGGACCTATGAATCAGGAGGTCATGGTTTGATTCCCAGTCAAGGCACATGCCCAGGTTGGGGGTTCGATCCCCACTGTGGGGTTTGCAGGAGGCAGCCGATCCAAGATTCTCTCTCATCACTGATGTTTCTAGCTCTCTCCCTCTCCCTTCCTCTCTGAAATCAATAAAAATATGTACTTTTTTTTTTAAATCACATACGTTATTGTCTCCAGCTAAGTTTACCTATTAAAACAACTTAAAGGTTTTGTCTTAATTATAAATTTCAGTTTATTTGAAATTTTTACAATCAAAAGCCATAATCCTATGTTAAAATATTCTAGGCAAGGCTGGCTGGCTCTGTAGTTGGGTGTCGACATACAAGCTGGGAGGTCACAGTTCAATTCGTGGTCAGGGCAACATGCTCAATGCTTCTCTCTCATCATTAATATTTCTGTCTCTCCCTCTAGGAAGTCAATAAAAATATATTAAAAAAAAATAATATGCCAGGCAAGGCAAGAATGAAAGAAGAATGAAAAGCAACTGAATTCAGTAGCTGCTCTATTCCTAAAGGGCAGATCTATCTCATCTCGCAGAGCCTCACAGTGCCTGCCCTGAGTAAGAGGATCCTGATAGACAACACCTCCTGTTCCACTTTCCCAGGTGTGTTATCAAAATGCACGAGAACAAAGGCTGGAGAACACCAGAGCTGCCCGCACTGCTGTCACCTGGACCATTACCTCATACAGCTGGCCCATGGTAGCGCTAGTGGGGGGGATAGTGTTGTTGACAAAGAAGAATAAGGCGTCCTCAGGTCTCAGGTGGATCCTCTTCCGGATCAAGAAGTAGAACTGGCCAACTGCAGGGAGGAAGAGGGTTTTATGAAAGAAAGGCAACAGTACAGAACACAAGGGACTAGGAGCATTCTGCTCTGCCTGCTCCCTTTAAAGCTCCTCCTTTCATATCATCTGAACACAGCCCATTACCGTCCCACGGCGATAGAAATAAAGTGAAACTCAAAGACTTGTACTCCCTTGTATGGGTAATATGCCACTGAGCAGTGTATTCCTCAGTAAACAGGTACTTGCCTTTGTTTACTCAAAATTAGACCAGATGCTAGCATATACCCACGCTAAGCCTGAGGACAGCTTAGAGGGAACACTCTATATCCAGGCTATAATAGCCCCCTCATTGTCCAAATCTGATCTGGAACACACTTCCATCCTAACACAAACTAGTCAATGGGAAGAGGTCTTCTTGGCTCCAGTAATCTTAGCACTGCCACTCACTCCAATGCTGGGACAATGAATGGAGTTCAATGCTTTCTCTTTTACTGAGCACACTGAAGACAAGTTAGAAGGCTGATGTTTAAATCTAAGAACTCCAGAGCAAACATATCTAAAAATCTTCCCAGTGTCTCCTGGATGCAGTGATAATTCCACTAAGGATCAAGGTGACGAATGACTACATCCTCTGCATTTCCAAATGTTAACCAAAGCACATATAAAATGTTAACCAAAAAAATGGAGTTTGGGGAGACAAAGACATCATTTGAGAATCTCTAAAAAGTGATTCTCACATGAAACTAGTCTGGTTTTCCTCTTGGAATAAAGTGACATCATAGTAACAGAGATGATGTTAAGTGCTTTAAGTAACAGATATGTGATCTCTTTCAATGTCTTATACTTTGCTGTGCCTGCATCAAACGAGGCACTATGATGTGAATTGCTTAAGGGATTGGTGATGGGGAAGAATCATGTCACCACTTTGAATAACCTAACTTTCTGAAGAACCCTACTTTCTTCAGCCTCCTTCCTCAGTCTCACAATCTCATGCACGCAGACAGGACTGGGAGCACTTTGCTATGGGAGAGTCAGGGAAGGAAGAGCATTACCAGTGAGGTCAGAGGGCACCAGGTACTTCCTCTTGTCCAGATCAGGCACCCTGGCCTTAGGAGCCTTCTCCACGATCACCTGGCAGGAGAGTCCAAGAGCGGGGAATGAAAACTACAGAAACCAACCTAGTATTTTTCCTTCCACATCTTAGTTTCCCCATTTAAAGTGAGTCTGTCTAGTCCCAGTAACATTTTTCTGTTACTTAATCTCCTGCCGGAAACCTATTCTTGTTTCACTAATAGAAAGATGTAAAAGGTTGGTCAACCCTGAAACTCTGAAAGGTCAGAGCCAACCACTCCCTATCTAAAGGAGACAATGCTAACTGTAAATCCTTACTGATATGATAATCCAGTTATTACCTGCCTAAGAGCTATGGGTACATCCCATAGTCTCAATAAAAGGGATAGCAAGGCCAGGGCCTTAGCGGTAATCCTCCCTCTAGAAGTGGGACTCCCGCCTGGCTCCCCAATTTCCCCAAATTAACTCTTTTCCAGTTGTCTTTACATTTGTGTGCAGCCTTCTCCTGAAACCAGACTCTGAACAGGAATCCTGAACCACACAGGACATGATAAGGGATCCCACAATCTCCCTTACAAATATGTGGGGAGATGGACTTTCTTAGAAAGGTGGTAGTTTTATTACTGCAATAGCAAGAGGATGGCCACGGCATGTGATCCAAAAAAGAATATTGATCTTAAGTAATTACAAGTTACCCGTCAGGTATACTATAGGATAGATTCCTTCTGGTATTTAATTTAAGCATGAAGGCTGTCTGGGTCTTCTCAAATGGTCCAGGGTACCAGTTAGTTTTCTTTCTTATAAAAGCCACTTATTAAAGCTATAGATGATGTGGTTTAAATTTTATATTTTGTCAAATTTTTTAAGAAGTACCACACAAAAAAAGTTTAAGACACTATTTTATTAAGCAAACGAGTAAACCGTAAAATAGTTCTTACAGTATAATATTCTGCGCTATCTCAGTACAATAACCTATTTATCAATATTATGCTAGAATTTCAAGCGATTTTCCAATGTCTATAAGTATTTCTGCAATATTTGAAAGTTTAGAAAAACCAGATTTCTGTAATGGAAAGAAAAAAATTAAGCTATTTAAAAATTAAAGACTTGCCCTGGCCTGTATGGCTCAGTTGGTTGGGCATCAACCTGTGCACCAAAAGGTTGCTAGTTCCATTCCTGGTCAGAGAACATGCCCAGGTTGTGGGCTGGTGCAGAAGGCAGCCATTCGATTGATGGATGTTTCATTCACTCTGACATGATGCTTTTCTCTCTCTTTCCCTCTCCCTTCCTCTGTCTCTAAAACAATCAACTTAAAAAAAATTAAAAACTTTTTATTCATGTAAATTTATAAAATGGAAGACTTGTAAATATTTAACATTTTAAATATTGAAATAATATATTTAAATTTAAATTGCAGACTACAAAAAGTATATTTAATATTTATAGATTTATAATTCATGCATATTATATTTTATATATTTACATTTTAAATATTTGAAATCTATTATAAAGCCATGAGATTTAGACTTTTCATTTAGAAAATATCATTACCCTAGATCAGTATTTCCCAACCTTCTCTCATGATGAGAATCACCTGGTGGAGTTGTTAAAACACAGATTCCTGAATCCCAACTAAGAAGTGCTAAACTAGAATTTTTGGGAACATATAGGTAAAATTGTATACTTACCTAGTGCTCTAAGACAGATTTTATATACAGAGCACTAAGTTAGGTATGCAATTTTACCTATATGTTCTCAAAAATTCTAGTTTAGCACTTCTTAGTTGGGATTCAGGAATCTGTGTTTTAACAACTCCACCAGGTGATTCTCATCATGAGAGAAGGTTGGGAAACACTGCCCTAGATAGAGAGGGTTTGGAAAGTATAGGAAAATTGCAGAAGCAGAAATAAACACTGGCCACGTATCCCTAGTAGCTGTTCAATCTTCAACAGGTCACTTAACCTCTCTGAGCTTCAGCATTCCAATGAGTAAAGGGAAGATGATAACTTCCCAACATCTCCTTTACAAAGTTATGGTACTGCTACGGTGGACGTGAGTAACCCTTGAAATTCTATGTGAAAATGTTTTGTGAATGATACAGAAGTATCTAAACACAAAGATTGGCTTAGAGGAATCTAAGCTTCTAAATTTAAGGAGACAGATTAAAACAGTGAAGAACTGCTCTGACCGGTGTGGCTCAATTGGTTGGGCATCATCTCATACACCAAAAGGTTGCCGGTTCAAGTCCCCCACATGCCCAGGTTGGGGGTTTGATCTCCAGAATGGGGCCTGCAGGAGGCAGCTAACTGACCAGTGGGGGGGCGTGCAGGAGACAGCCAATTGATGGTTGATGGATGGTTTTCTCTCATCATTGATGTTTCTATCTCTTTCTTCTCTGAAATTATTATTTAAAAAAATAAAAGAAGGAAACCACAAGGGAGTAGAAAAAAACTGCAAAGGAGACATGGGGGGGAGAGGGAGGGAGAACTTAGAGGAAAAGGAAGGGGAGCAGGAAAGAACGGCTTTACCAGAAATGTGTAGGTTTCCAAGAACCCCAACTCTGCCACCCGCCACTCTCTTACAGTGAGCTCTGGGCCAGAGGCTCCGCTCACCTGTTTTCCTCATCGTGAAATGGAACGTGGCTAATACTCCTTGGATTGTTCATGACTTTAAAAAATAGACAATAAAAAAAGAGAAACAACCTGTGCCTAACAGTTTCCTGCAATGTCACAGGTTTCCAACACACGGTAGCTATTAAGATCACTTTAAGAGCCCATGAAACCCTTTTCTCCCAAGGCACAGGCACAGCTGTCCAGGTGTGGCGGCTCTAGAGATTCTGCAGGGGCTAAGCTTGAGTTATGTGAGCAGTCAGGGTACGTGGCTGCTTTACCACCACTGAAAGGGGGTTTGCACATAATTTACTCTCACCCTCTATTTGGTGAACAGAGCACTCTAACAAGATTCAGAGTCCCACCCCAAACTGGAATCACACCTCAGAGCTCAGCAAAGCTCTTCTTCCTGTGTCCCAGCTAGAAAGAAGGTCACAGGCAGAGCTCCTTAGGAGCAGTTGGTTAAAACTTTAACTGGAGGTCAGAGTGATGGTCCAAACAGTTTACAAATTATACAACTTTGTAAAAATGCAATACCAAACTCAGCAGGAAGGGACTAGGGAGAATCAGCTGACATATCCTGGGGAGAACACATGTAAATGCAAATGGGATCAATCTCAATTTTAAGGAAACATAGGAAATTTAACTAGCCTTAGGAACAGGTATAGTTCAGAGTTTGTAACTTACACAGAGCTACTGAGACAAAGCTTCATTCCACTCTGGACACTTGATGGAAGCAACAGTTTATTTCTCTATTTCCAATACCAAATAGTGTACACTTAATTCTCATAGGACTGCCTGAAGGACCCAATGCAGGGCTGCAATCCAAGGTCTGTAACAGACCAGCTGTGTGAAACCTTTAGGAAGTGACTTCATTTATCTGCGCTTCAGTCTTCCTCTGACAATGGGGATTATAACGGTGGGCGGATGATTAAGACGGAGTGAACAGGCAGCATATGCTCAGGTACAACTATCAATCAAGTTAACTGCCACTTCTACATGTTATTACAGGACAGTGGAATATCACCAGCTTCGGGAGAAACTTTTGAAGCCAAGATCCAGAGACCAGCGAAGCAATAAGTGAAGGATCCTTTTTGTGTGCCATTTCCAGAGAATGGCACAGCCCTCGTGTCTCCTCTTCCTTAGGGGAAAAGGACTGTCCTTATAGGAAAAGGATTATCCTTATAGGAAAAGGATTGTTCTGGGTTTTCTACCAGATTGCTCTGATAGCTGTGGGAGATCAGGACACTTAGATAAGGATTGGGGAGGAGGCCTGGGTGTACCTGCTGGGTCAGGAAAGCACATCAGCTCATCAGGATTCTCTTAGCTGTAAATTCTGTGTAACATGTATCCTAACATGCCTGCCCGAAGATAAAGGTTACAATCTAAACTTTCTGCTCTTTCATCTCCAAAATATAAGAAAGGTTGTTGCTCTCTCTAGCACACTTAAGAGTCTTCTGCTTTTCCAATCCGGCTGTGCAGCCCACAGGAGAGAAAAACCAGGCAAGTGACAGGGGTGGGGGGTTGGGTGGGGATGGGGAAAAGGCCCGGATGCAGTGAAGATTTTTATACACACACACACACACACACACACACACGCACACACACACTCTGTTCCTCCTCAATGACATGAACCAGGGTCCAAAAACACCAAGAGAACAAGGCCCGGGCCCTCCGGACTGTGTCTAATTACAATCTGATCAGAACAAGTAGCGGAGGGAGGCAGCCCGCCCGCCCCCGCACAGCCTGGGAGCCAAGGAGGCAGCCCCGCTGTGGCGCAGGGAACATGACCTTGTTTTCCGGGCCAGGCCGGTCTGATGGCACTCCCCCCTCCACCCTAACAGAATGGGAGGGGGGGGGGGAAGGGGGAGGAAAGAAGACCCACTGGCTTCCTAACCTTTGCCTCCCAAACCCAAATGCTAGGAGGACCAAAGCAACCGGATTAAGGGAGAACCAGCCACGGCAGACATCGATGGGTGCAAAAACCCAGAGATTCTCCCCCTCCCCTCCCCCCAATCAATGTCCCTGCGACCTTAAAGGAAGCAAACAGCCGGGCCCGACCTAGCCGATCTCGCACCCACAGGGCTACAGGGTGAGCGCCTCCCACCAGCACCCACGGCCTCTCCGTTCCGCTGAGTCATTCAAACGCAGGTTCGGCTGGAGGGATGCGGGCGGCTCCGGAGACGGGCACGGGCCCCGGGAGGACAGAAGGGTTTTTTGTTTTTTTTTTAGGAGATCCGCCGTCAGAGCACCCATCCCGCCGGCCCTCCCCGCAGCGAAGGGCGTTCGGGGTGAAGGAATGTGAGGGACCAGCGCTCTGCGGTGCCTTAGGGCAGCCATCACACCTCCCCAATTCCCCCCACCTCCACCTCCACCCCCACCCTCCCCGCCTTCCTACCCCCCCTTCCCTTCCCAGCCCCCCCCGCCCCCTCCCCTCCCCCGCCACTCACAGGGACCCTGTCCGGGTATTTCTTCCGGATCTTCTCGCCTTCCTTTTTCCGATACTCAAAGGGGTGGTCCTCCTTATACTGGAACTTCATGATGAACCGCAGGGTTTCCAAGATCCCCGGACGACGGCGGGGGCCTGCCTCCAGGGCTGATGATGCCTGCGTGGCTGGCTCTCGTTCGGGCTTCTTCCTTCCTTTCTTCTTCCTTCCTTCCGCCAAATCTCAAGACGCAGCAGGACCGCTTTCGGAGATGCAGCTCCGGAGTGCACGCCGCTGAGGCCGGGCTTTGGGCAGGGGGATCGGCGCGGCTCGGGGCTGCAGGCGGAGGAGGACGGGCGAGGGAGCGGCGCTGGCTTTCCCCGAAAGCTGGGAACGCGAAAACAACGCGGTGGCGCGGGGGCATTGTGACGTCACGACGTCCCGCCCCGGCCCCGCCCCCGGCCCCGCCCCCGGCGCCCCGGACCCCGCGGGGTGGGGGGGGCAGGCACGTGGTTGTCTTCCGTGTGTTCCCTTTCTAGCTAACCCTTCCTTCAATATAATTCATTGCGAAGGGAAGCAGGTTTTAAACTTCTTTTTCTATGCAGAGTGTGACATGGGAAACGGTTGTGAAGCAAAGAAAAAAAAATGTTCTAAAGATGCGTTCTTCCCTCTTCCTCGCTGCTGTTTTGGTTGGGTCCAAAAAACAAACACAACGGGGAGACAAACCAGCTCTTCCCAGCTGGCGGGGGTGCACGGGTTGCGTTGGCCGGTGCAGCAGTGCCCCCTGCGCGTGCACGCTTGCCCTTAGCTTCTCCAGTGGCACCCGGGAGCTGAGCCGGGCACCTTGGGAGCTGGGCTTGGCTTCCTTAGCCGGGGACACCCCTCCTTCGCCGCCGCGTTGGCGTCATTTTGTTTGTGTTCCTGCCGCAAGTTTGCTCCCCGAGCAGGAACATAAGGAACATAAACAAACCGTGACTCCGGAATTCAAAGAAACGGATTAGGTGAAGGGCACGAAGTGTAATCAAGGTCCCCACAGGGCTGTCAGTCTTGACGCCAAGGGCTGCATGGCATGCTCAAATATAGAAATGATTCACTTTCTCCTGTCAACTCAGAAGATGGGAGGAGAAAACAGCAAGATTGAAGTGATGAACTCAGTAGTTCTTCCCAAACAGTCTTTTTTTCTTTTTTCTTTTTTTCTTCTTCTTATACAGACATTTACCTGGAGGATAGAGAGTACTGCTGCTGAAGTGTCCCCAATGTGAATAGAAAGTGCCACCAGAAAGGGTGCTGTGTCTTCCCCTTACCTCACCAAGAATCAAAGGGACTGTAGGGCTTTTCCAACCTTTATAAATGACAGGGACCTATTGGGGAAGAACAGCGGAAATTATAAGAAGCGTGAGAAAGGGCTGCTTTACCCAGAACAAGCTCTGGAAGTTCTGAGAACTGTTTGAGACAACCCAGCCAGTGTGGCTCAGTTGTTGAGATTGGACCTATGAACCAGGAGGACAGGGTTCCCTTTCTGGTCAGGGCACATGCCTGGGTTGTGGGCTCAGTCCCCAGTAGGGGGCGAGCAGGAGGCAGCCGATCAATGATTCTCTCTCATAGTTGATGTTTCTCTCTCCCTGTCTCTTCCTCTCTGAAATCTATATATATATATATATATATATATATATATATATATATATATATATATATATATATTTATATAGTTTGCAGCTACCTAATAAATATTATCTTCCATAAACCAAAAATAGTTAAGAGTAAATGGTTTGTACTTCACCCTGTACTTAACCACAGGGTAAACAGTATATATCACTCGTACTCAGGGAGACAGATATCAGAAACCCAATTACTGCCATTTGCCAACCACACCCAAGGACAGACAAATTAAGAGAATAAATCTCATTTTGGTACATCAGCATAAAGATGATGAATATTTTATTGATTCTCCCCAAGACCTCCCTTAAGCACCAGCCATTAAAACCCCTGAAAATGAAGGTCTCAGTTCTCTCTCCTTCTAGGGAGCAGGCCTATGCCATTCTCTTCCCCCTCTCCTTCCCCCCACAGGCACATATCTCCAAAATGTCTAGAGACCTCAGGAGCCAAAACCTGTTTGTCTCAGTGGATAAGTGTCAGCCTGCAGACTGAAAGGTCCCAGGTTCGATTCCAGTCAAGAGCATGTACCTTGGTTGCGGGCACATCCCCTGAGGGAGGTGTTCAAGAGGCAGCTGATCGATGATTCTCTCATCGATGTTTCTAACTATCCCTCTCTCTTCCTCTCTGTAAGAAATCAATAATTTTTTTTTTTTTTTTTTTTTTTTTTTTTTAAAGAAAGACCTCAGGAGACTTGCAACGAGGGGAGCAATAGGCAGTGGCAGGTTGATTTCCAAGGCTAACCCTTTGCACCTGTCTCCAAGTGAGCCTTTTCTCTGATTTCCTAATGGGCCTATGCTCTCCTGTTACTTCTATGCCCTGTCTAGATTCACTGTCCTAAGTGTTTTTTGTTATCCTCAATAAATTCTCGCTTGCTTTTCTACACGTTGTCTCCCTTCTTCTTCTTTTTTTTTTTTAATATATTTTATTGATTTTGTACAGAGAGGAAGGGAGAGAGATATAGAGTTAGAAACATCGATGAGAGACAGTCATCGATCAGCTGCCTCTTGCATACCTCCTACTGGGGATATGCCCGCAACCAAGGTACATGCCCTTGACCGGAATCGAACCCAAGTCCCTTCAGTCCCCAAGCCGACGCTCTATCCATTGAGCCAAACCGGTTTCGGCTACACGTTGTCTCTTGATTGAAATCTTTCCTTCAAGAAGACAAGAATCGAGGTCTCATCAACTCTCCTGTAACAATATTTCAATGTGTCATTTCTTTTCTTAATATCGTTCCATGGTTATGGAATCTGTGTAGTCGTTGGGGAAAAATTCAATAGAAACATTAGAATCAAGTTGAGGAAATTTCCTAGAAAGTAAAACAGCGAGACAAAGATGGAAAGAGGGCAAAGGGATGTAAATTCAAGTTTCAGCATTCAAATACTAGGAGTCTCAGAGAGAATTCAGAAAAATGGGGAAGGGAAGTTAGATTTTATTTGTAACAGCTAGATATGCCTTAAAAATCCCAAGGGAATTTTGTGACAAGGTAAATTATCATTTAAAGTATAAGGGTAACACATGACGTTCCCTAGACATGGAAACCAGAATTTCATTGCTTGTGTATCTGTTTTCAGGAAGCACCTGCAAAATGAGTAAGTAAACCAAGAAAGGAAAAGATATGAGATGTAGGAAACAGGATTTGACACGCAAGAGAGCAATGACGATAATCTCCAAGGTAGTAAAAGTGGTTAATAGTTACTAATGTTTTAAAATACAAGCTTTATGTATAGTATGTTTATATTAGCACACAGTCCTCACATAATAATGTAATATACTCATTTTATCCCAATTTTACGGCAAGAAACTGAAATATAGAACTATTAAGTAACTGCACCATGATCGATTGGACAAGGAGTAAGGGAAAGAACCAAAATTTTAACCCATAAAGCCTGCTTCCCATTAAACTCATATAATCAAAATCTCTGTTATAAAAATCCATGGCCATGACGCCATCACACCGTAACGACCCAACGCCAAAAGGCACCTGCTGAACATCGTATGATTTCTTCATGCAAACAAGTAAGTGTTGCTCTGTTCAATTCCCATCTTCCAACAAAGGTCAATGTAAGTGCTCCTGAGAGGGAAAGGTTAGGGCAGGAAACTATTCTTATCTCTGTCCACAACTGTCTTCCAGGTGGGCACGCGTGGGTGGGCGGAGTCTTAATGCTGGTCCCACTGCACTCGTGGTTTGGGTCTCGTGAGATTTCGCGTGGTGGGCCTCTAGTTGTGATATAACTGTGTTTAGAAGATAGGAGGGCACAAGCAATGTTCAGATGTGTTATGGTAGTGTGGGTGTCCCGAACGAGCCACCCCAAGATGTGCTTCAGTGGAAGGCAGATTACTTTGAGATTTTAGATTAGTCTCCAGAGAAACGTCCACCCTTCTTCCCTTTGACTATCTGGAGGAGTTTGAATTAGAGACCTTGCCCATAAGAGATGATCAGAGATAACTGTTTTTGACCAATCCATGTATAGGTCAAGGCAAATTACTAATATAGAATGTCTGCTCTTCTTATCATCCTGCAATGCCCTTTGGAAGCCCCCAAGGCACCTTACCTCACCACTAGCTCAGGATGTCTCGTAGACCTCAATCCCCCTTTCTATCTCTGAATCTCTCTTGTACTGCAGGGTCTCTGACTCGCTCTCATGGGTGGGGTTCCTGAGCACAGATTAACTTTGATTTTTCTGTCAGTCTGCCTCCTGTTATTTTGATTATTCCAGCCAGCCAAAAAGAACCAGAGGGGGGAAGAGGAATGTTTCCCCTTCCCCATAGTAGCAAAGATGGGGGTCACGATAATGAAAAAAAATGGCTAAATTTTCATTTTCTACAGTGCAACATATGCATAGTATTTGGAGAAATGTAGAATTTACATAATCAGCTAAAAATGAGGACGTTTTGGTTTATGTATGTATGGGATTGTAAAGTGCTACTTTCCTTCCAAAGCCTTGTCACTCTTTGACGTTTAAATCTCTCTTAATGTATATACATTTGATGAAAGGGAAACACACAACACACCCAAATTTAAAATTAAGAGCAACTGGTTTTTCAGTTTGTTTTTTAAAGTCTTAGGAAGCTGAGTGTAAAACCAGCTCAGACACTCTGCTCCCTGCAAATTACATCACTGCTCTGCAATTTAGCCTCCACCACATGGAGTTTGGAGAGCCAAATGGTGCCCTGTGGGCATTCACATGGTAATGTGTACTTGCCAGTCACTCGACTTTTAATAACTTTTGTCCCTTTTGAATTGAATTTGCATTTTTCTGCTTTGGTATTTATTGAGTTTGAATTTATAAACACTTTTGAGAGCGGGGAAAGGGTACTTAGTACTCAGCTTTACCACCTGTGATAATTAGTATTAACACCACAGGGGAGAGCAAATTCTAAATCTAGTGCAAGAGGGGAGTAAGAGAGATCCTGTACAGGCAAGTTAGATATACAAACCGATTCTCAGGAGAGGTCTAGATACTTGGAATAACTACTGAAACGAGTGGAAAATTTACTAAAGAACATCTAATGAAGCATCCATCTTGTATGAAAACTGCTGTTTGAAATTTTAACCCTGATATTTGGCTTCTGTGGATTTAACCTTCCCCAGACAAGGTCATCAGTGCTGGCGCCAGGCCTTTGGTTGAGGTCTCAAGGCCCCGGTACACACTGGCTCTTTAAGAACTTGCAAAAGGGGGCCAGAAACACTCCATATTTGGGAGACAAAGAGGGTAGGATCATATAAATAGGGAGAATGCCTGCATGTTGGGGCCCAGAATTTGAGATACATTTTCCTCTGGACCAGCACGTAATAAATGTAATTTCATCTCTCTAAGTATTGCTTTGTTCTTTTTTGGTTTTCTGTAACACTAGAAGAAATGGTAAATGGTTCAGGTGTGTTGGAGATCATTAATATCACTTGTCCAACAAGGACTGTAATCACCACCAAAGGGCAACATGAACAGTTAAAGCATGAGTACAGTAAAGCTGAAATAAAGAGGTGTTCAATGTAGCCCGCCTTATTTCATAGCTTTGCCTATTAAAGGCAAACAGTTTTTATGAAAACAGTTGAAGAAGTAGTATCTGTGAGGCAGATAGTTCAATAGGCATAAGAGTCTCCCTGTCTTCTACATCTCAGTGCTCTTCTCTCCTGACAGCCAAATCATCTTACAAGCCACATGATCTCTTTCCCCCTTCCAAAACGTAACAATGGCTTTCAGAGCATGCAGGATCAAGTTCAAACTGCTTAAGTTCCTATGTAATGCCTTCCATAAAAAAATGCCAACCTATCTTTCCAGATTAATTCTTATTATATCACTTAGCATTGTGAACACTCTCCATGATTCACATTCTCATTATTTCTATCTTTGCTCCTCGACAGAACATGCTCATATACTATATATCTAGTGTTTAGAATTCTAATTTGTCAGGTTTCAGCTCAAACACTACCACTTTCATTTCAAACTCTTAAAATCATGAGGTGATTTTTCCAAAGTAGGAAAGGATAATTCTGGCTTCACCAAGGTGAAGGTGCCAACATTACTCAGAGACCAACATGAACAATATTTCCCACAGTTGAACTCTCAATATATCTTGGCCAATCCATAAATCACTCAAATTGTTTTCCAGTCAGACAGCCTGCTCAAGGGCAGATTTCCCATTATGGCCTCTTGATTACCTTCCAGACAATCTGCTTATCCAAGGAAAAGAAAACACAGCTTGCTATTCCCAGACTTTGTAATTGTTCTCACCGTCTCTTAAATTGGTTACATAAACCCCATTTTTGCTTTATTCCCATATACCCATATATAAGTAAACACTTTAAAAAAACGTTTGTGTTTTTTTAAAATTTATTTCAGAGAGAGGGAGAGGAAGAAAGATAAAAGCATCAATGATGAGAGAGAATCATTGATCAGCTGCCTTCCTGTATACCCCCTACTGGGGATTGAGCCCACAACCCCATCATGTGCCCTGACTAAAAATCGAACCCTGATCTCCTGGTTCATAGGTTGATGCTCAATCACTGAGCCACACCAGCAGGGCAAGGGTCTCATCACTTTTAACTAGGACTTTTACAATAGGCTCCTACGTGGAATTAAGACGGGACTTCTTCGAATTTCAGCTAAGATCTCAGACTTTTACCAGAATATCTTTCTAAAACACTGATCGCATTGTGGAACTCTCCTGCTAAAAATACATTAAGTAGCTCATCATCTTCTAGTTCAGTGTCTGAATTATTTAGTACAGGCTTAACAATGTGCACTTTTTTTTCTCCTCAGCTGTATACTCTCCTTCCACTTTATAATACATAATTCATATAAAACTTTTGTATTGTACTAGTAAAGGGAAGAAGCTAGTAGAAAATGAACAATTAAAGAATAAGCAAGAGGAAGAAGAAGGCAGATGGGAAGTTGACTATCTTGTTCATAACCACATACAAGCTTTATCTTATCATACATTAAGTTGGCTTATATTTTACCAAGTTTTGACATGCCTTTTCCCCATTTTAGAAATCACTGTCTTGAATTCACTCCTAAATCTGGTCTTCTCCAGTCTTTTTTATCATAATAAACACTAATACCTTCCATGTATTGGCTCAATTCAATGATCTAGGAGTCATTTTTCACTCATTTCCCTTACAACATTTTCCTTTCCAACCTATCAGCAAATCCCGAGGATGGTATCCCAATATAGCTTTCAAATCCTTACAGTTATCACTACTTTCATCTCTAATATCACCATGGTAGTCCCACCCATAAGCATCTCTTATCTACTCTTCTTCAGTAGCCTCTCATCTGGTCTTTATGCTTTCATTCATACTCCAGTTCCTTCTCCTGTAGCATTCACTCACTGCTAAAATTCAAATTGCATAAGTGACTTACTATTTAAAATGCTTCAATGATTCTTGATGCATGTAAAATATCATCTATATTTCTTGTCCCCAAGGCCCCTTGTTTCTCTCAGACTCAATTTTTGCAGCTCCCTTCTAAGCTCACTAAATCAGCTACTCTAGTCTTTTTTTAGTTTCTCAAATTTACCAAACTATATCACATATTTGAAAATGCTCTTTCATCATTTCATTGCTCTGCCTTTCTCGAAAGGTTCTTTGCACTCTTTATGTCTCTCTCTCTCTCTCTCTCTCTCTCTCTCTCTCTCTCTCTCTCTCTCTCTCTCTCTCTCTCTCTCTCTCTCTCTCTCTGCCTGGTGCATGAAATTTGTGCACAGTTAGGATTCCTAGACCTCGCAGGTGATCAGGGCTAATCAGGGCCTTCCTGCTGCAGCCAGGGTCTCTATTCCCTGGCTGCTGGTGGGGCCTTCCTTCCCTGATTGCTGGCTGCCAGCCAGGGCCTTCCTTTGTTCTACGCTGCCGCCTGGTGGTCAGTACACATCATAGCAAGTGATCAGTCTTCGGTGGAACTCCTGTGGGGGCAATTTGCATAATAGGCATATATATATTTGCTTTTTCTTAAGCTCTGTGAGGACTAAGAGTCAGAGACCCTGTGTTTCTTGCACACTTTTATACCTCCAGTTGCCTCAGCACTATTCTTGGCACATAATTTCCATTGAATCAAATGTAATACAACACACAATTAGAAATATTTTTATTGGGAACCAGGAAAGATGTCTATTTCCTTTAGACAGAAGGAAAAAGGAAAGGAGAGGTTCAGAGCCACAAGGGTTATAGCTTTGGGCTAGGATGTTACCTGAAAGCTTTGATTTCCTCTCTAAACTAAGAGGACAAAAATCCCCTGCCTAGAATTAATGAGTAGGTTGGGGGGGGGGGGGGGGGTGAGGTTTGAAGAGAGAGATTGAAATTTGAGTAACTACTGAAAGGAATGGGAAAATTACTAGAGAAAATCTGGAAGAAATGGTAAATGGTTCTGGTGTGTTGGAGATCATGACATTGTCAATGACCTCAATCAGCAGAGTTGGGAAGTTTTCTGCAGCTCTTCTGTTCAGCAGTGCAGGCTTTCGGGAGAGATCAGTTAGCTTCAATGAACCAAAGTTTAAAGTTTAAAGGTGTGAGGAAAGTTTAAAGGGGTTAAACTTTTTTGAGAACAGAGGTGAAAGTGATTGAGCTGATTAACAGATATCTTAGAGTAGATAAAGAAGTGAAGCCACTTGGGTGCTACTAGCTTATGACAAAATGGAATGGTGACAGGAGTGAACTCCATGTGACTGCCAGAGGGGCAAAGGGGCAGGGAGAGATGGGACAGAGAGATCTCTTTAGAATATGATAGGATTTCTCCCAAGATCTTGTTATACCTGACAACATTTTAACTAAGGCTATGGCATCTTGAAGGACAAATGAGGCAAAAATATTTCACAGGATGTGTGATCATAAAGTGATTCATTTGGCAGTGGCAAAACAAGGCCACCCCAGGTGCTATTAACAATTCATGCATTTCAACAATTTCCAGAAGCAATTTGATAAATGACCCAGGAAAAACGCAGATCCCCAGCAGGTGCTACTCAGAATAGTTTCCCTCTGGCGGGGCTGAGTGAGCATTCCTCCAAGAATGTTCTTAATGAGGCAGTGATGGCACTAATCAGCCATTCCTGGCTCTGTAATATCTCCCTGAGCACTGGAGCTACTTTCCTAATAAATGAGTTTGTTCAAATGTTCCCTACCTCTGCACAGAGCATATTAACAGGATAGCTTCAGTTGTTTAGCTCAATTAACAAATATTATTGATGAAATAAAGCAGCTTCAGGTGTGACTTAGCGCCAACACAGCAAAAGGAGAAACCAGAACATAATTTTCAGTGGGATCATGGCAGGCAAGTGAAAATCAGACATCTGTATCAAGAATAAAAACACACACACACACACGTGCATTATACTTTACAAATCTTTCATATATCCTTAGTTTATTTGATCCTCACATCAAACTAGTGAGGTGTTTTTATGGCCCGTCTATAGTACAGATGAGGAAACTGTGCTTTAAAGATTCCATTGGGTTATCTAAGGTCACTGATGAATATAAATCACCTTCGCCATCTTCCAATAGTAGTACACTTTGGAGGTAGTGTGCAATGTGGGCAGTTAAACAAGACACAATGGGATGGTGCTTTGGGAAGAACCTCCTTTAGTCTTGGTTCAGTTCGTGCTCCAGGCAATGGAGAGGTGTGCAGATAGGAGGATGCATTTCTGTCATGGCGCCACAAGGTGGCAGTAAAGGCCACCACTAGAGGCCAGTGCTTGTCACTAAACACTTGGTTTCAAGTGGTCAACACAGGAAGGAGAAAAGAAGCAAAGCAATTCTATTCTTTCCAAGTTAGAAAAGGGTGAGAGTGTGAGTGTTCAAGCACGTGCGTGCATGCCTGTGTTCACAGAGCAGAGGAACTGAAAATTGAATAGAACTGTTACTGCACTCTGTGCACTGTTCAATACCACTGGTAGGTATAGCACCAGAGTGAAAGAAAGACCTTTATATCTGGCATTTCAATATATACTGTGTTCTCCTAGCCCAGTGGTCAGCAAACTTATTAGTCAACAGAGCCAAATAGCAACAGTACAATGATTAAAATTTCTTTTGAGAGCCAAATTTTTAAAACTTAAACTATATAGGTAGATACAGTGTTATTAACTTAATTAGGGTACGTGGTATTTTGTGGAAGAGCCACACTCAAGGGGCCAAAGAGCCACATGTGGCTCGCGAGCCGCAGTTTTCAGACCACTGTCCTAGCCCATACTGCAATCCCACTCATGAATTATGGATGTCCAGTTAGATACTGCATGATGTCCAAGATTATCATTGTCATTCAGTGTAAAAGTGCGTGTTCCCTCAGGAGGAAAAGTGAATTTGGTACCTTATGGCTCCTCAAGTGCATTCTACCCAGGAGCTGGCAGAGAAGAACAACTTGCATTATCATGTGGGTAAAAGAACTCAATAGTTGAAGGAATTCAAGAAATCTTTGAAACATTACTAGAGGTGAGTTGCACATTTTGGTACTGGAATTCTCGATTAGAACATTTCATATCAGAAAATATATCTGACTGGAAATAAAGAGTTGGAGTCCATGTTTTCCACGAGATGATGTTTAGATTCATCCTAAATCTTCTGAAAGGTAGGAAAAATGTTCCGTGTGTCCATCGTTACCGACGCTGCGGATACCCCCAACCCCATTTCTGAAACCGAAGTTCCCGTCAATTTGAAGCGTGTTCTCCTTGAGGGGACACCTTCTCCATCGGAGGCAGCTGCTTCTCTTCTGGCACCGAGGGCAGGTCAGGTGCTTTCGGCCCGCACCTGGCAACCGTGAAGCGGCTCATGTGAAGAGCTTCCTCGTACCCTGGGAGGGTGTCCACGGCGGAGGGCAGCTGGCCCAGGGGGCTGTGCGAGTGGGCCACCGCCAGGATTCTCCGAGCCGCAGGGCCGAACACTGACTGCAGGGCTGGCGAGGGGAGGAGGAATAGAGCTAAAGTAAACGTGACATCCTCAGAAGTCAGACTTACAACACTCCAAATTTCCCTCTGCCTCACATCTGACCAAACTCTCTGTCAACTCTGTTGTTATGAAATGTTATGAAAACCCCGTGAAAGCTCGTTTAGAAACCAACTTCACTTTCCGCTAAAAGACCCTGACTTCTCTGGTGCCCTCGGATAATCTAAATTGAGTTCCCATATCCCACCGTCGTTGGCAGATTTTGAACCTTTTAGACCGATCCACTTGATGTTGCAATCTCCTTAGGAATACTTATTTCTGCCTCATTTTTTTCTCAAAATGATGGGAGGGGAGGGGAGGCGGGAAAGGTGAGCAACAACACACCGCATTGTGCTCTTTGCAAAATAAAAATCACAGTGTTTTGCCACCTGTCCTGCCTGGTATTTGCACTCCAATTTTAGTAAATACTATCCTATAAAGAAGAGAACAGAAGAAAATGGAGGGTCTTATGATCATCAAAAGAATGGTGGGGCTCATATTTCGTGTATCACGATTTGGAGAATAGATCCCATCTGCGGTAGACAGTGAGATAGATACGAGCAAGCGTGCTGGGCCAGGTTGAGAAGGTCACGTGGGTGTAAAGCCCCAGGTGCCCAGCCAAACTGGGAAAACAAGCACCTCACCCCCAGGGTACATTTCCTCCCCTTGCATCTGTCTGATCCTGCCCTTTAGACCCCTGCAGGTCAGACTGACCTTTCCTCTCTTGGCATGTTGCTAGTTATGTGGGTTAGGACACCCCCCCACACACACACCGTCTTAGAGGGGGAACAAAGAAGGGAGCCAGAGAATAGCCCTGAAGCAGTAAGCTCCATGGCAGAGTTCTGATCAGCATAAAACACACCTAGACCTCGGCTGTGTTTCAGCCCCAAGGCCAGAAATGCAGCAGAACCAGACACAAGGTGCCAGGGCTGACATCATCAGGACCAAGTGCATTGACTTATGACCCCTCTCTCCTCCACCCCCTCCCCTGAACTGGTACCAACCAATCAGAGGAGTCTAGGACCCCAAAAGAACACTTCTGAAAAACTGACGAATATGCTATTGAGATCATCCCCTGAGACCTCCAGAGACATCCCCTCAGGAGAGGCTCAGAGCCGCTCTCTACGGTGCAACCCAGGCCTTTCCCCACCCCCTGCCCTAGGTGAGGTCTCCACGCCTCTCGCTTATCCTAAGCAACAAGGGTCCTTCTTTTGCCTCTGTGACACTTGTTTCCCAAGCCCATTTCTTCTACAGCTCCCTTCCTCTACTTCTACCTCTATAACTTTTGTTTTTAATCCCCCACCCTTTTGTTGTTGTTGTTGTTTGTTTCTGTTCTTTTCTGACTTTCTAAATAAACTTTCTCTTATAAAGGAAAAAAGCAAAAAGACCTGGAGAATAAATAACGGAAAGTACACATGACAAATGTCTTCTTAATATATAAACATTCTAGATAGAACATGTGGTTTTTTTTACAAAATCCAAGACTTTTTGTTGTTGTTCCTCCTCACCTGAAGCAATTTTTTTTTCCATTGCTTTTTAGAGAGAGTGGAATGGAGAGGGAAGGACAGAGAGACAGAGACACACAGCCAAACTAGCGAGGGCCCGAGACATTTTTGAAAAAGGCGCATGCTTAGAGCTTACACCAGTTTTATTCATCTCCGCTATTTATGAATTAGGTAATAATTCTCACAAAACGTTTCCAATGTCATCTTCAGCATTTCATCTCTTCCTGCGCTCTCTCCTCAGACAAGAACCGTGTTTGCGAATACAGTGCTGCTGACAGCACAGGCCACCGCATCACCAATGGCTTGTGGCCATTAAACCTACTCTGAGTTACAGCTTCTTTGCTATCCAGCCAGCTGCATTCACACCCTTGTACCATCCTGACCGCGTGTTGTAACCCGGCTCCCTTCCCGTGTCAACGGCCAGCGTACTCACAGGTGATGGTGCTCTGCAGAGTGCTATCGTGGTCAAACGCGATGACTGTCACTTCGTACGGTGGCCGGCCCTCCTCTTCCCCGTTTTGCTGGCGGCTCAGGCAGCAGCGGAAGCACACCGAAGTCAGGCCGCACAGAAGGAGCAGGGCGCCAATGACCACCAGCAACCTGCCAGGGGCCCCCCAGCACCGAGAACTCTGGGATCCGCCTCCTTTCCTAACGCTGGCCTCCTCAGCCTCCTACGTCTGCACTAGGATTCTTGTGTGGATCTTAGATGTTAATTATAAGATGTTAATTCCAGGGCTTTCACTTCACATATTATCCGTCCTTGCTTTGTCAGCAGGACAGAGTCAATTTGTCAGAAAATGAGCCAGAGGTTTAATGTGATTTGGAGGGGATTTGGAGGGGCTGCTTTTTACCTTCCTGAAGTAACCTCTGTAGGCTATTGGAGAGCTGATCTGAGAATGTGGACAATGATCTGTTGATGTTGGCCGGGAAGGTGGTATTGAAATAGGAAATCCTGGCGTATTGTCACACAGGGTGGTAATTACCGGTAAGTAGAGAAACTACTCCGTGCGATGGTATGCAAGTAAGTAGGCTTGCGGTCTCACATACTTTTTCCCCCCTACTGTCAAATATATTTAAACTAAGAAAGAAACAATAGCAGTGGTTATTACAGCTGAAACTTACCATATATACCAGAGATGCACCCAATCTGTGGTCAGGCAACTATGAAGAAAGAATAAAGTGTTTGCAATAAAAATATAGTCAATTCATGTTATGATTCCAAAATCAAAACAATGAGTTACAATAATAGGTTCCCTTGTTATGATAAAAGCATCCCAGGCTATATTAACTCCCATGTAACCAGCTAAATCTATTGTGTAATGGGACGCTTTAGATAGTTTTATACGACAGATGGCAGTATGTAAATCATTTTGTAAATCATTAAAAGACAGGCGAAAGTAGTGCTCATGAATTAGTATTCGTAGAAAAGGCAGCCCTGACTATTGAAAATCGTTACGATGGCAGTTACCGAGAAAGGACTTCCAATGCCAGTTTAAAAGAGTCTGACCCTGGCCGGCGTGGCTCAAGGTTGAGTATAGACCTATGAACCAGGAAGTCCCGGTTTGATTCCCAGTCAGGGCACATGCCCGAATTGCAGGCTGGATACCCAGTGTGGGGCATGCAGGAGGCAGCCAATCAGAGATTCTCTCTCATCATTGATGCTTCTATCTCTCCGTCCCTCTCCCTTCCTCTCTGGAATCAATAAATATATTTGTAAATAGTTTGAAAGTTAACATTTGTATACATTTGAGATTAATAAAATTTGGACATAAAGAAAAGAAAATTTCGGTTATAAGCATGAGAGCATTACAAAGAAATTTGTAATTTATATATTGCAAGTTGTTGCGGGAAGGGACACCATAAAAACCCCCATGATAAAAAGGGCCCTAAATTTCCACACCTAGAATCAAAACATGATATACATGATGGCTGAGGCCAAACAAAATGGGGAAAATGTAGAAACCAAATTCGTCATGGTGAAAGCTAATTAAATATTCTGAATTAACTGGGACAGTTACACATTTTCTCTATTGGGATAAAAATATAGATTGCATGAGAGAAGGGGCATGGGATAAGCTCAGGAGTGGGAAGGGGAAGTAAAGGAAAATGTTTATCTTTAAAGACAAGTAAATTTAATATTACTTTCTGATAATATTCATCTATTAAAATGCACACTCTATCCTCTCTGTGGTTTCAAGATTGTGGAACTTACCATTGGCATTTTCACTGAACAATGTCTCCCCCACGTTTTCTCACATCTCCCCACCCCTTTTCTCCTATTGTGTTCATCAGTTTACTTTGCTCTTTAGATTCCACATATACGTTCCATCATGTGATATTTGTCTTTCTCTGACTGGCTTATTTCACTTAGCGTAATAATCTCCATTTGAACATTCCCCTTTAGTTCAGAGCCCTTTATAGTTCTACATTGCAATTCTGATTCTACTAAGATGACTCTTCCTATGCTGATGTCTAAAACCTCAGAGAGAATGTGAAAGTAACCAGGGCCATCACCATTTCCCTTGGGTGTAACATATTTGTTATTGAGAAACAATTCCCATGGCTAAATATGTTTTCCTTCAGTCTGAGCAAATCTTTGATCAAAATTGTCATTGATTTTTTTACTAGTTTACCTCTAAGTGGAATGAATCTTTTCCTTTTTTATCTTTATATCCTTTGTGTCTACATGAGACCTAACTGTGATAAGTTTAGATTAAGGGGTAATTATCTCAAAGTAATAGCTAAATAAAGGCTGCAATAAATATTAACATGCCCTAAAATAGTGGTTCTCAACCTTTCTAATGCTGTGACCCTTTAATACAGTTCCTCATGTTGTGATGACCCCCAACCATAAAGTTATTTTTGTTGCTACTTCATAACTGTAATTTTGCTACTGTTATGAATCGTAATGTAAATATCTGTGTTTTCTGATGGTCTTAGGTGAACTCCTGTGAAAGGGTTGTTCAACCCCCAAAGGGGTCGCGACCCACAGGGTGAGAACCACTGCCCTAAAAAAGAAAATACTCCAGATCTGAAGCAGTGATGTACCTTTGGAAATCACCCACACATATCTGCCTGTGACTAAGATATTGAATCCAGTCTGTCTCTGTGAGTGACTAAAAATCATGAGTCACTAAAACTCTACTTCAAATCTCTATGACTGCAAAAACTGAGATGATTAAGTTGGCTGATTTTAAGACTGGCTTTGGGAAAAATGCTGTCAGCAGTGTTATTCTGGATGACAGAAATGCATGTCTTTATTTTGAGATAACCCATCTGTGGGCTAAGTGCCCATTTAAGTAGAAATAAGGGAAGTCACAGATATCTGATGACATTTTGACCTTCTGTGTATGGATGTTTTTGTCTGTCTCTCCTTCCTCCGCAGTTGGACTCCCACATACTTACTGTTCAGGACTGACACAGTTCTCCTCACATCTTGCCCAAGGAAGCTGCGGGAAGGGAAACAGTCTCAGACAGGGAAATTGTCTGGTCTTCTCTGCCCACCAACCTATGACTGCTATGTTAGATCGGTTGGTGAGAGCAGGGTAAACGCGAAGACAAGGTCATAGGGTCAACCATGGTTAGAACTTTTTGTTTTCGTCTTCCCTACACCCATTCAATTATAATACTGTACTTGAGGGGGGAGAACCTGGAAGAAGAAACACCTAATCTGTTTGTTTTTTCCTTATGGTGGTGGCTGAGCATCACTGCCTTGTGGATGAAAGGTGGCATTTATGCCAATTCGTTTTTCTAGAAATTTCCTGATCTGTCCCTCAGGATATTGTCTCCCCAACTCTTTCCCAATCCAAAATGAATTCTGCCCCACTGCTCTTTTTCCTTCTGTTGGTACATTCACAACTTTCTTTAAAAAAAAAAATAAAATTAAAAAAAAAAAAAAATATATATATATATATATATATATATATATATATATATATATAATTGACTTTTTACAGAGAAAAAGAGAGAGGGATAGAGAGTTAGAAACATCGATGAGAGCGAGGCATCGATCAGCTGCCTCTTGCCCACCCCCTACTGGGGATGTGCCCACAACCAAGCTACATGCCCTTGACTGGAATCGAACCAGGAACCTTTCAGTCCTCAGGCTGACGCTCTATCCACTGAGCCAAACCTGTTTTGGCCATTCACAACTTTCCATTCAAGAGAAGAAGAAGAAGAAGGGGAAGAAACTTATTGAGTAGCTATTATATGCCAGTGAGGTGGCTAGTAATTTTTAATATTTCTTAACATTTCATCATGATAACCATGTAGGTGGATATATTTAACCTTACTTTAAATAGTTAAGGATCTAAGGCATACGGTTTGAAGTAACATGACCAACAGCACACACTTCTTGATGAGGCCATAACTCAAATGAAACCTAAATGAACCAGGGGCAAGTCTGCTCTAACAGCTCCGTGGCATTGTTAGCCAGTCCCTTCCACTCCTTGTAAAGAAAGAAACTTCCACTCCTTCTCCTACCTTGCATTTCGGCTGACTTTCTCCTTCAAAAACCTCTCTAGGTAAACGTTTGTTCTAGAAACTTGCTTTCTTCAAATAACTTGAAAGACTTGGTATTTTAGGAAAGCAACAACCAACACAAAAATGCCCTCTAAAAAGGGACAGAGATTTACATTTACTTGGGGTTTTATGGGACAGGGATGGGGGGTAAGGGTTAGGGGGTGGGGGAGGGGAGCACACACATACTCCTAATACATCAGGAAAGGGTTTTGTAAAAGATTTGCCGAAACCAGTTTGGCTCAGTGGTACAGCGTCGATCTGCTGACTGAAAGGCCCCAGGTTAGATGCCGGTCAGGGGCATGTACGTTGGTTATGGGCACATCCCCGGTGGGGGGTGTGCACGAGGCAGCTGGTCAGTGTTTCTCTCTCATTGACGTTTCTAGCTCTCTATCTCCCTGTAAAAAAATCAATTTTATATATATATATATGATCTAACAGCTGCCTTCTGCTGATAACGTTTGCGACACTTCTGGTTTTGTTTCCATTTCAAATAGTTGACCACAAAGGATGACACAGTGTGCGTTTCTTCAACCCGGTTTGAGTACTTTTGTTTCATTTTCTTGACTAAAGGCTAGAAACTCCTGAAATTTTCAGCAGATAAAATGCCTCTTTCAGGCCTGTTGTAAAAAGAGAAGAAAAAGAGAAAAGAAGGGAAGGGAAGGTCAAGGGAGAGAAGAAGAAGCAAAAAAAGAAAATACAAGAAAAAGAAAAGGAAATGGATTTTCAGACATTAATTTAATTGTGATACAGGAAGCAAAATAGACAGCCCATGCCCTGCTAGAAGTGGTACAGGAACCTGATGGTAGGCAGTTTCTTCATTTGCCCTCCTTAACGGATTTCATAGCTGGGTAAACTTCCCCTTGATAACTGTTCAGAATCCCTTAGACCAGTGACCCCTCTCCCAGCTAAATCAGTTACTCGGGGGCTTCTGAATTTCAGTGGGGAGAAAAATGAAAGATCCAAAGTATTTTTTAAAGAGTTTCCCTTCGTTTAACTTATTTCTGATTTGGAGGCCCCTTTAAACTCCAAGAATGGTATTAGGGCTGATGTGGGAAAGTCCTTCTAGGACAGCGTTTTTCAACTGTTGTGTGCCGCGAGATGTTGCCTGGTGTGCCGTAGGTGCAGACAAGACAAAAATTTTATAATTTTTCACTATTTTGTTTACTTAATATTTCATAATAAAGTAGTTATAAAATACTTTCTTTGTGTTTATTTGATTCCTATTCAAGAGAATTACTTTATATATAGTCAATATAGGCACAGAGTTAAATTTTTTAACATTTTCTAATGGTGGTGTGCCTCGTGATTTTTTTCATGAAACAAGTGTGCCTTTGCCCAAAAAAGGTTGAAAAACACTGTTCTAGGAGAATTACATGCCTAGTTTTGACCATTTGCTTGGGAATTTGAGGGATGAGTGATAAGATGTTAAAAGAGAGAAATATGCACACAGGAGAGGTATTTCTAAATTGCCACACACATCTGCCTTGTATCTACGGCCGCCCTAATGTCTGTCCCCTATTTCACTGATGCTGTCATTCGTCACACCTGCACTATGTCACCCTACAGCACAAAGGAAACATTCTAGTTATTCATTTGCCACTGCCCCTTTGGTCTTCCCCCCTCATTCATTTCCCCCCAGATTCTTCTGAGAGATGGTTTATCCAAGAAACAAAAAACAAAAGCGTTATTCCTGGGTTTTCACAACTTACCTGGATGAAATACACCAGGGTCGAGGCCAACACGGTGTGGACTCTCAGTCTCCTGGGGCTGAACTCCTGGGTCTCCGGGATCACGCCCTGGGTGTCCGTTCCCTCCTTCCCGTGTTCTGCTGCTTCCTTTCTGTGCTCTGCACCTTGTCTGACTTCTTGACCTAGAGGACTTAGGAGAGAAACTGTTCTTAGCAATAAATCACTGTTTCCTTTTCTCTCTGTCTCTCCTCGTGTTCCCCTCGGCTTTTTATTTTCTGTGGTCTTTCCCTTCCCATTCATCCTGGCTTTTTTCTCTTTTCTATTCCTGGTTTTAGGGTTTCCACATTTGCTTCCCTTTTGTCGTTTCTTTCCTTCTACTATTAATCCTTTTCTATATGCCTTTAGCTTCCTCCCACTGCCCCCAGGAGAAAGAGACACATCAGTCCTCGGAATTAGGAATTCTTCTAGGCAGTGATGAGAAACTTGACTTGGAGGAGGATCAAAGAGAGATGGCTCTTCTCCATCAGAAAGGAAGTGACACTCTTGGTTCTTCACCACAGCACACCAGGTGGCTGTTGAAGGTTGAAAGTCACCCTGCCAAGCTCCATCCACTCGCCCTCCACGTGATTAGGCCTCCTCTCTCGCTCTTTGAAACCCTCCCCTTCCCTATGTTGATAATCAACCCTCCTGGTTCTGGATCATTTATTCCTCACTATTGGAGGAGGACTGAGAGGTTGCCAAATGAACTGAAAAGCCATCCCATCTTTGGAGAAAGCAGATTTGGAGATTAGAATTTCTGGGTCATGTCCATTAAATTCCTGTCCACGCTGACTTCAATTCCCATTGAAATAAATAGTCAGTCAGACAGACTTAAAAAACAAACTGGGTTCCAAAACTACTTCTCTCTCTCTCTCTCTCTCTCTCTCTCTCTCTCTCTCTCTCTCTCTCTCTCTCTCATAAAATCTTAGGTAAAAGTAAAAATAAACACATATGGAAAAAAACATAGACTATTTGTAAAGAAAAGTATCTACAGGAACAAGTGAATACTGTTTACATGAGTTATATTTAAGTTGGTATTCACTTACTTAAAAAAAAGTATTTCATAAAAACATTAGATATTAGTTTATGTATCTATTTCATAAGAGCTGAGTAAAACCAACTTTCAGACCCTTTCTAACTCTGAAAGTCTGATTTTTATTGAGTGATTGTTCAGGGGAACTGTTGAGAAGGATTGAGTCCAAGAGCCCTCATACCACGTGACAATGTGATATAATAGTGGAGAATATAAACTTATTCTTTTTTTTAGCTGAGGAAATCAGTGAGATAAAAGTCTCATATGACACTGATGATTCAAAACCAGTCAGTTCCAAAATTAAATCAGCAGTACCTTTTTTTGGTGTTAGGATGAACAGTATTTTCCAAATTTCAGCGAAAAGCTTGGCCAGGTAGGATGGGGAAAAAGAGCAGGACTCTAATCCAGGCCCTCCACTGAGTTATTAAGTTGTTTCCCCAGTCCTTAATTTTCTCATTCATATAGGGTATCCCCCCAAAATGTACACATACACTTTGAATAATTATAAAGGCAGTGTTTATTAAAATACATTTCATTTTCAAAATTAAATTATCAGCTGATAAAGTGTATACAGTATACATTTTTTAGGGGGGGGGGAGGCAACCTATATAATAGGAGTGGAATATCCACTTTGCCTGAACCAGATCTTGTTTCATGGAGAAAATACAATCAAAGAAACGAAGGCATTTTGATTATATTTCTTTCCATGAACATGGGTAACACCATTAACCCTTTATTTATCTTTTTTTTTTAATAGAGAAAACACTCTTTTTTAAAAACATATGTTTTTATTGGTTTTAGAGAGAGGGGAAAGGAAAGGCAGAGAGAAACATTGATCGGCTGCCTCCTACACACCCCCTATTAGGGATAAGCCTGCAAACTGTGCATGTGCCTTGACTGGAAACCTCTCTAGGTACAGGATGGCACCCAATCAGGTTCTTTCTCTTTTTCTTGTCAGAAAGACAGTATTGGATTATGGCTAGGAATCCAGGTAGATTTTCTGGGATTAAATACTTGCTTTGTCACTTACTAGCTGTGTTATATTGGGCAAGTTATTACGTCTCTCTGTTAAGGTTAAGTTTCATTCCATATAAAATGAAGCGACAATAATAATAACATTTCTTCATAGATTTATAGAGATTAAATAAATTAATGTGTCTGAAATGCATATAATTGTCCCAATAAAAGAAGCATTATAAATGTTAACTATAATGACCTTGATTTCCACTCACTTTTACCAATGACCTTCACCTTCATGGATAACTGATGTTCATCATGCTTCTCATTGTTACCATGACCAAGTTTTACTGATTCTGTCATTTCAGTTCATGAGTAGTTCTCCTTGCTATCCTGGCCATCTCTTTTCTCAATCATTCCAGCCTTCACCCACAAGAACAGGTTTGCCAATTAACATGACCTTTTTTCCCTTCCAGAGCACTTTTCTGTTATGTGATTACCATCACCTTTTTGCCCTACAGCTACTTAACAGGTTTCAACCAAATAGGATTCTGTTAATAACCTCCTAGCTACTTGTCCTTTTTTAGAATTATTATTGCCACTTCCCCCCCCACCCCTTACTGGATTATTCCCTGGAGAAACAGAGATTTGTGTTTATCCTTATCAAAGTGATTATTCCTTGTGAGGTCAACCCCATCAGAGAGGAAAGAGGATTCAGGGGGAAAATTAAAGAAGGTACCCAATGGCATGGCAGGTAGCTGAGATAAAGGAGACTGATCTCATTACAATCCTACACAATCTTGTAGTTCCATTAAGCTTGTGAATCATTAGCTTAGACATAAGTTGTTAGGGACGTGGAGTGGAACAAATAGAGGGCACATGTACACAAGCTTTTAATCTATGCTTCAGGGAATTGTTATACAATAGCTGTAACAAGTGGGGTTAAAGAATTACTTATTTCTGGTTCCTTTGATTATTCTCCTTTTGACCTTGTCTAAGTCAGGTGACCAGATTCTCTTCCTCCCTTTGCCTCAGTGAAATAGAGGCCAGGTCTATCATTACTCCGAAGCATCAAGCATGAATTACAAAGAGCTAAGCAATAAGCAATTGCTATGGCTTCAAAAATGCATAACATGGAAGAAGAACCCAGTTTCATCTTGCAACCACTCCACTAGGACGTATCTCTATGGAATGAACCAAGATGATAGCCTGAGTATTCAGTGGCAACCTCAAAGGCATTGAAAGTCAGTGATAAGAGATTAAATTTAAGGAGAATAAACTGTATCATAAGATTATTAGTTTTATATGCCATGTAACACATTACCACAAATTACATGAACAGCAATATAAAACAGCATTTATTATCTCACATTGCCTGTGGAAGTATGGGCATAGCTTAAGTAGGTACTCTGCTTAGGGTCATACAGGCTGCCATCAAGGTGTCTGGTCTACTGGGTTCTCATATGAAGGCTCACCTGGGGAGGAATACACTTCCAAGCTCTCTCTGGCAAATTCATTTCTTTTTGAGAGTGGGATTCAGGTAAGTTTTTAAAATCTAAATTCAGGCAGAGAAAGAAAAGAGGGAGAGAAAATTTAGGCTCTATTCCTTTTGTGATCCCATACACATGGTCACATACATACTCCAGGCCACAATTCCCACCCACATTCAAGGGTATGAACATTGGGAGGCAGGGATAATGAGACCCACTTAAAATCTGTTAAATCTGTCCAGCTATCTGTCCCACAAGGATTTTAGAAATTATCCCCTTGGATTTTTACAAACAGGAGAAATATCCATCAATAGGTGAATGGTTGAAAAAATGTGGTCTATAGATACAATGAAACATTATTCAACCTTAAAAAGGAAGGAAATTCTGACACAGGCTACAACTTGGATGAACCATGAAGTATTACATTAAGTGAAATACTTTATTTTCCGGCGTATAAGATGACTTTTGAAACGAAAAAAAAGCCTGCTCAGATTGGCCAGAGTCAGAGAGGTGGTCTATTAAAAAAAAGAACTGGTGTTGCCTCAGAAGTGGGGGGTAGTCTTAAACAGCGAATATAGGCCTAAGCCTATGTTTTAACTATAAAATTAGGGGGGTCATCTTATACGCCGGAAAATACGGTAAGTCAAACATATGCTTCTACTTACATGAGATACCTAGAGTATCAAATTTATAGAGACAGAGAATAGAATGGTAGTTTCCAGGAACTGGGAGAAGAAAGGCATTAGTTAGGGTCTTCCAAAGAAACAGAACCAATAGGATGAGTATATTGAGAAAGATTGATTATAAGAAATTGGCTCATGCAACTGTAGAGGCTGGCAAATCTAAATGTGTAGTGCAGGCCCAGCAGACTAGAGACCTGGGAAAATGATGTATGTAGCTCCAATCCAAAGGCTATCAGAGGAAAAAATTTCTTATTTGGAGTAAGATCAGCCTTTTCTTCTATGTAGGCTTTCAACTGATTGGATGAGGCCCATTATGGAGGGAGAGATGCTGTACTCTAGTGATTAAGATATTATCACCCAAAAAACCTCAAAGAAACACTCAGAAGAATGTTTGACCAAATATTTGGGCACCCCTCTGCCCAGACAAGTTGACAGATAAAATTCACCATCATAGGAGTTATTGTCTAATGAGAATTGAATTTCAGTTGGAGAAGATGAAAAAGTTATGGAGATGAAGTGTGGCAATGGCTGCAAAACAATGTACTTCATGCCCCTGAACTGTACACTAAAAGTGGTTAAAATGGTAAAAGTTTCATGTAAGTTTTACCACAAATAAACAAATAGAGGAACTGCTTGTTTCTATCAGGTTTGAATAGGAAAAAAGCAAAAAATGAAGCTATGCTAAGGAGCCAGCTCACCCAGAAGACTGTGACTGATCTAATGTCTAAGCCCTCCATGCTGTGGCTCCTCAATGTGAGCTTCTAGTTTGAGGGAAGTCAAGAAAAAAATATGAGGGTAACCTTCATGTGTGTGTTCTCTACCTCACACTGTACTTTCGAAGTGTTCTATGGAGTGGCTAGTCTCTGTCTTGGTGATCTGAAAAATCTCTTACTGAATTATTTCATTAGATGTTCATACTGAATCTATCTCTCATCTGCCACCTTTGTTTTTTTATTAACTGGCATCATTGAAAAACTTGTGAGCCGAGTTTTTGTCTGGCATCTGATAGAGACGAGACATTCAGCAATCCTAAACTGTTTGGACTTCAGTTCCACTTCCTCAAAATAAAATAACTGAGACAGACTTTTGCTAAATTAAAACCCAGCTAATGCTGTGTATGTGTTTATAGCTAAGAACCTCACCTATTGATTGTCTACTTTTTGCAAACTATTGCACAGTTTATATGGTATGCCAGTGTAGTAGGAAAGAATGAATTTATCAATAAAAAGGGATCTCTCCTTACTTTTAAAGGATTTGTCATTTTGTTGGTGAGGTGGAATCACATTAACAGAATTGAAATCAATGCATACACTGTGAGACATATAAAATGAGGGGAGAAAAGAAATTAATGATGGTAATTTTACCTGTAGAGAGGATATTTTTTTTTTGGAGGAGATTTTTTTAAATAAAAAAAAGAACTGTGTTTGAAGGATTTGTAGGACTCAT